GGACATTAAATAAATATATACCATCCTATATAATTAAAATTCCATTAATTTAATAAAATAAAATTAATAATTTATTAACCTCCAAACCTTGGCTCTATGCATAAAAATAAGCTAAACAATTAATTTATTAATTCAAAGGGGAAAAGTAGATAATAACTTGCCTTTTTGGATTTAAAATAAATCCGCCGGTCTGCGCGTAGTCGGGTAAAATTGCCTACACCGGTCCAAGCTTCTTTCTCTTTCTCTTTTCCTTTCACTCTTATAAAATAGCTCTCTAGAATTTATACTTTGCTTCTAACTCCCTTTTATTTTTTTCTAAGGCAAGCTAGTTAATTTATACACAAAATATATAATATAAATATTACAAATATCTAATTTATAATAACTTCTCACCCATTTCTCATATTCCTACCTATATGGCTTTAAGACAATGCTATCTTTAATCAAGATATTTGATCCACCATTCTACCATAGTAAATGAAATTCTATCCTAGTATTTAATTTTCCATCATTACATTGATTTATTATAACTATTATTATTATTATTACTAATATTATTATTAATAAACTTTTATTATTATATGATTATTATATTATTATTTTTTTATTATTATTATTAAACTAATATAATTATTATTATTACAAAAGAATACATTATAATATCATAATACTATATAACACAAATATAATACTTTAATTAGCTAATAATGATTAATATAAGCATAACCAACAAATAAAATTATTATTAATAATACATGCATAATTAAATGAATAAATTTACTATTTTAACATACACAATTACTTTACATGCACAATTAAATGAACATAATATAATAATGTAGTATGCACAAATAAATAAAATTAATTAACCTAACACAAAATTAATTTAAATACATTCTTTAAAATTACGGGGTATTACACTCCCATTGCTATAGAAGGTAGTAATGCATCATCTAACCCCAAGTAAACAAAAAGATGAACATTCAGGTAAGTCACAAGACACACCTTGCAAAAATGAACCATCACATAATTTAAGAAAAATAAATATTAGAAAACTTTGTAGACAATGAACCATCACATAATTTAAAAATACTATTAATAATATTTTTTAATTTAAAATAGTATAAAAATGTATTGAAACAATTAATTTTTTATACATTTTTATAAGTAGTATAGATAGATAAGAATATTATGTTGAAAATATAAGTGACTAAGAAACTGAAGTTGGGTGAACGTCTGTTTTAAAAACAAAAATAGTAGTCTCTTTTTTTGTTGGTCCATTTCGTATTTTTTTGTTTTTTTTTTTGTTTTTTGTTTTTTTTTTTTTTTGCTCATATTTATTTTATTTTTAAACAAAAATGGTACTTTATTTTTCCTTATATATATATATATATATATATATATATATATATATTTGTTTTAACCTTTCTGGAGGCATTATAAACTATTATATATAGTTGATATATATGTTAATAAATTTTCTAAATTTAAAATAAAAAAAATTTGGAAATAGAGAAAATTTCTGAAGTTGGATGGTCGTGTGTTTTAAAAACAAAAAAATGGTACAATTTGTTCTTTCCCGTTTATGTTTTCTTTTTCTTTTTGTTGTCTGTGTGTGTGTTTTTTTTTTTTTTTAAAAAAAAAAAAACTAAGTCGGTACGATATTTTTTTTTCCTTTTACAATTTTTATTTTTTTATTTTTTTCTATTTGGACTGATGTGAATTAGGCTCTAGAATTTTTTGGGTGGAAATTTTTGGGAAGGAATGGGTTTGTTTTTAAATAGTGGAAATATTATAATTTTTTTTTTCCTTGTAAGTTTTTTTTATTTTTTATTTATTTTTTTATAGTGAAGAATATGAAGAATAAAAAGTATAATTAATTTGATTTAAAAATACTTTTAATATCCTTTTAATATAAAAATTATGATTTAAATATATATATGTTGAAGAATCTGAACAATCAAATAGAGTAATTAATTGGATTAAAAAAACATATTCTTTTGGTCTTCCTCAATTTTTTTCATAAAATATTTGGTCATATATAATATATACATTTATATATCATTATTTATACTATTAATGAGGCATGAATTATTATGCTTTAATGAATTTTTTTTATGTGAGGAAAAAAAAATTGAAGAAATTTCTTACACTTTTAGAATTAGTGGGAATATTATAATTTTTTTTATATTTCAAGTTTTTTTTTTCTTTCCTTTTTTACACTAATATGAATAATCAAAAGTATAATTAATTTGAGTTAAAAATACTTTTATTATCCCTTTAATATAAAAATTATGGTTTAAATATATACATATATAAAAAGAGGTTGAAGAATCTGAACAATCAAATAGTGTAATTAATTAGATTTAAAAACATGTTCTTTTGGTCTATCTTCCTCAACTTTTTATTATTATAAAATATTAGGTCATATATAATATATATATTTATATATCCTTATCTATTTCTCAATACTCAAGTGTTGTATTTACATATAATAAAAATAAAATTAAAGAAAATTATAACTTTATATGGAGAGGGTTGTCCTACCGAAAGAAAAGTAAATTCTTACACTATCACAAGCTGAAGATATCTAATATTACCAACTTAGCCATAACTTTAAATTAATTTATAAATCAAAAATACTCTAAACTTCGATATTTTGTTCACAATTCATCCTCATCACAAAAGAATTAAATAAGGATCTCCACTTGCTTGGATCTACAAAATCAATTAAAAATCTTCTTATTCCAAAAAACGTAAATTCCAAATTAACAAATTTTGTACAAAAATTCAGTATATGTACATGTATATACCCACCCCTATGATCTTTACTTCATAAAAATTATTGACAATAATATCTTCATAGAATATACGCATCTGTGCGCCCTATATACACACACATACACAAGATAACATATACATGCATACATAGATATCTATATTATAGAAGAAAAATAAAAGAAATTGGTGAAAGTAAGCTTACGGTTTCCTTACCAGAATAAAGTTGACAATAATATCTTCATAGAATATCTTGTGTAGTATTTGTGCGCCCTATTTACACACACATACACAAAGATAACATAGACATGTATACATAGATATCTACATAATATAAAAGAAAATAAAAGAAATACAAAGATAACATAGACATGCATACATAGATATCTACATAATATTTTTTATAAAGAAAAATAAAAAATAAAAAAAAAAATTGGTGGAATTTAGCTTACGATTTCATTACCAGAACAAAGCTTTCCTCAGATCCAGGACTTTCTCAAGCAGTATCGTCTTCTTTCAAAAGTAAGAGTAGAAAAAAATAATGATTATGTAAGTGAGAAATTCAAACGGAAAATGAGACAAAGATATTCTTATGCATGTATGTGTAACACAATTTATTAAAATTAAATAGAAAGAAGGAAATTCAAGAGTTGTAACTCTTGAAATAAATATAAGATATTTTTTTATTTGAAATAAATAAAAAGTAGGAGTAGAAAAAAATAATGATTATGTAAGTGAGAAATTCAAATGGAAAATGGAAGCAAAGATATTCTTATGCATGTATGTGTAACACAATTTATTAAAATTAAATAGAAAGCTGGAAAGTCAAGAGTTGTAACTCTTGAAATAAATACAAGATATTTTTTATTTGAAAGAAATAAAAATGTATAAATGCTATATATATAGAGGAGAAAAATATTCGTGTTTAAGTGTGAGGCAATTTATAAAAATTAAATAGAGAGATGGAAAGTCAAGTAACTCTTGAAATAAATACAAGATTTTTTTGATATAAAAAAAATGTAAAAATGTTAAGAAATTCACAATATGACTACACTTTTAGAATAAAATTAAGATAAGATATATATTAAGAAGAAATTTAATAAAGGTAATTTAACTTTAAAATGTATTAATTCTTGATTTTAATAAATATAAAATAGACTTGTGATTTATGAAAAAAATTAATAATGGTAATTTAGTTTTTAAAGGTATTACTTTTTTGTTTTAATTCATATAAAATATTTTATAATTAATGAAATATAAAATATTTTATAATTGATGAAAATGTATCTAAATAATTGTAGAAAAAAATGCTTACACTTTTATATAAGTAGTATTAATGCCGGATGGGGCAACTCAAATGACATAACTGTTGAATGATTAAAAAATTTAATGTAAAGTATTTAATAAAAAATATTTTCTATTTTTTTAAAATTTAAAAATGTTGAGAAATTTTTTATACTTTTAGAATAGTATAGATATAGATATAGATATATACACACACATAGGTAATCTGATGGAAAAAGTGGTAGCACTTGGACAAAATTTGAGAGGAAAAAGAAGAATGGAAATGTGATCCTGATGATGTCTTTTACCGGTCCTACTAATGTGACTTTGTGGCCAAAAAGTTTTTGGCCTTTATTTCCTTCACGTGGGCTGAATTAGTGTGTTTGTTAGTTATGTCAAATGCAGATTTGAATTTAAAGAAAAGTGAACATAAGGTAAGGTAGTAATGTGGTAGGACCCACTGGTTTATATTTAGAGTAACGTTTTTGATTTTGTGCTATACGCACGTGGGTTTGCTAGCTGATTTCATGAGGTCAGTGGGCTGCCTTGCCTATATATTATGTTTTGGGACTTTGGCGAGACACAGAGAGTGAGTCGAGAAAAATAGAGTAAGCAGAGAGAGCCGAGAGTTTGTAGAGGAGGCTGGAGCTTGGAGATTTGGTGATCTGATGAGGAAATTTTTTTTTTTTTTTTTTTCAGTGTAGATTTCTCTATACCTTGAATGGCTTGGAGTGGTTTTGTTTCAAACGGTTTTTATTAAATATTTTAATTAAATATATATGTATTTTGTTTATATACTCACATGATTATATATATTTTGTGAAGCTATTTTATTAAATCTCCATGAAATTTTTGTTATGGTTTTTTTACTGAGACTTTTTGTCTCACTACCCTCCAGTTTTAGGTACCGAAAATGAACGGGGATTGCTAAATACGGGCTTAGGGTGAAGAGTCGGTATTATAGGATTTATTTTATTTATTTGAAGAATTTTTATATATATTTGGGGAAATTAATTTTGTATAAAAGAGAGTATTTTTTTATGATAATAGGTGTATTTTGATGTATTTGGATTTGTATAAATTGAGAATTTTATTAGAATTTTTGGAACGTGACAAAATAGTATCAAAGCATTTTGTTAGAATTTTTGGGGTGTGATAATTTCAATTTAATATTTAATCAAATCTGAGAGGGTGTAAGTAAAATTAATTCTATTTATTTTGGACTACGAAGAATTAAGAACTGGTTCAAATATTTAAACAAATTTATTTGACTAAGAAAAGTCAAAGCCGAGTAAAGACTTGTTCCATATTATCTCACCAACCGAGTTTGCCCAAGTCATATCAAAATTTCTTCACGTTCTTATTGTAATCTCTCTACAGTTTGTTTGTGAAAAAACTTTTAGAACTTTCTAGGGACATTTTAAAGGTTTTGATCAAAGATCAGGCAACAAGGACTCATTGGCTCATTGCTATGATTCCCTCGTTTTTTTTTTTTTCCTCTCTTTCTTTTCAATTATATATTTTGGACTAGGAATAATTAAAAACCGTTTCAAATACTCGAACAAATTTGTTTGACTAATAAAAGTCATAGCCGAGTAAAGACTTGTACCATATTATCTCTAACAACCTATATATGTTTGCACAAGGCATATCAAAATTTAGTCGCATTCTTATTGTAATCTCTCTACAGTTTGTTTGTTTGTGAAGAAACTTTTAGAATACAAACTTTCTAGGAACATTTTAAAGGTGTTTGGCCAAAGATCAGGCAACAAGGACTCATTGGCTCATTGATCTGCTTCTCACCATATTCACCTGCTTGTTAGCTGGTATGTGATTTACTGCTTATTTAAGCTTAATGTGTTGGAGTTATTCTTTGTTAAGTCAGGTGTATAACAACGCTTCCTCTTTCTATTTTATTTAGTTTTTTAATTTTGTTGAGTGGAAAAGAAAAGGCCTATTTAATGATGAACAACATAAATAATTGATGGGTTCTTCAGAGAATGCCTTGAATTAATTTTCTTGTATTGTTTATATGCTCTCAAGCCAGTTTTCCAGTTGAGAAAGACACAAAAGAAACTATATATATATATATATATATCTTTCTATCTACACACTCATTAAAATATATGGGCTTGACTATAATAGAGAGATTTCAGTCTAGTAGAACTTAGTATATAATGTATAAGTGTGAAGAATTAAAATGATAACACGTTAACGTTCAATATAAAGAATAATAAATTTGATGACAATTTTCATCTTTACAAGATGCAACGGGGGAATTTTTTATTGATAGCTTTACATCATGATGAAAAAGACACAAATATTTGCATGGAATTGAGGCAAAGATGATAATAATTATTAGATAAATGAAAGGTGGACATCAATCTAAAAGTCTTATGATGCATTTGGATTAAGTAGGATTGAAAAGGAACATGGATGATAACATTAGTTTTAATCTTATTAATAAATGTTTTCATTTTATGGCAGCCTGTAAAGTTACTCAAGCCATAAACCCAAATACTTGCAGAAAAACTTTTATCATTTGTTTGAAACAATCTGTATCTCTACAGCATTGCCTATCAAATCCAAGCAAATATTATGTTCATTAGAAATATAATCAATCAAACTGAAGAGTTTCATTGATTTTGCCTTGTGTTTTTTTTCCAGAGATATCCACAAACGACTCCATGTCTTCACCAGAGAAAACATTCATTGTTGCAATAGTAATTGGTAAGTTTTGCGCAAAAAGGAGAAAATCAGGAAAAGGGAAATATGAAAAGATATTCAAGAATTTTCATTGACATCAAATTGAGCCTAAGATCTCACCATTTTAAGTTGTTTCCACTTCCAGGCATAGCAGGGCTTTTGATAGTACTGGCAGTAAAATGCATTTTCATTTTATATTTTTGGATGAAGAGAAAACCAATTATAAGGGAAATGCAACCAATCATAGGTGAAGTGCAACGAGCATTCAATCGGCCATCACTGAATGGAGTTCCAATTTGGGAGGTTGATGCACCTTCAATGGCGAAGTTCTTCCAAGACCTGGCAAATGAGAAAGCGATTAGATTTCATGAACAGGAACTACGTAGCTTCACAAGTAATTACTCAACAAGGTTGGGTTCTGGAGGTTTTGGGGAAGTTTACAAAGGACAGTTTCCAAATGGAGTGCAAATCGCAGTAAAGGTCCTCAAAAGGAGCTCAGAAAGAAGAGCTGAAGAGCAATTCATGTCAGAAGTTGGCACAATAGGAAGAACCAACCATATAAATCTAGTCAGACTATATGGATTTTGCTATAATCCCTCTATAAGTGCGTTAGTGTTTGAGTACATGGAAAATGGATCTCTTGACAAGTACCTGTTCAGTGATACACAAACGATTGAGTGGGAGAAGCTATATGAGATTGCAGTTGGTACGGCCAAAGGTATTGCTTATCTGCATGAAGAATGCATGCAAAGAATCATTCACTATGACATCAAGCCTGGCAATGTTTTGCTTGACGCAAAATTCTTTCCTAAGGTTGCAGATTTTGGGCTAGCAAGGCTTTGGAATAGGGATGGCACCCACGCAAGTGTGACCGGATATAGGGGGACTCCTGGTTACTCTGCACCAGAGCTTATGCTGAAGAATTTTCCAATAACTCATAAATGTGATGTTTACAGCTATGGTATGTTGTTGTTTGAGATAGTTGGAAGGAGGAAGAATGCCATAAGTGGTCCTACAGAGAGCCTAGATTGGTTCCCGAAACGTGTTTGGGATGAGTATGAGAAGGGTGAGTTGGCAACGATGACCATATCGTGTGGGATTGAAGAGAAGGATAGAGAGAAGGCAGAGAGAATGTCCATGATAGCTTTGTGGTGTGTTCAAGACTCGCCAGAGGCTAGGCCACCGATGAGTGTTGTGGTGAGGATGTTGGAGGCAGGAGTGGACATTGCTCCGCCTCCTAGACCATTCCACTATCTGTATTCAGTAGGCATGAATGTGCTGAAACCACTTGGTAGTACTGATAACAGTCCAAATGATTCAAGAAGGGAGGGATCTGATTCGTACTGGTACAAGGACTCCACGCCACTAATGACCAAGTATGAGATACAAATTGCCAGCTCTTCCTCATAAAAGTGAACAATAATCTTACTCCGACAGTACAAGATTCAATTTGTATCTTAGATTACATTTTATTTTAATCTATTTCGTTAAAAAATTTGAAGATGTCATATTGTTATCAAAACCTTTTAGTTGTAAAATATTAGCTATTTGATTTGATCCTAGTGCATTCACCTTACCAACTTTTTAATTTGATATTCCAACACCAGAAGCTAGATCACTTGATATATAGGCTAAAAGAATATTCTTATCTTCAGGAAGCTCGATTCCAACAAGGATTTATATCGGAGGGGGACCGTACAGGTTTGAAATACTTTTCTGGGTTGAAGCAGTGGATCCATTCAGGATAACCGAATTGTTAAAAGCAATTTTCCATTAAAAAAAATAAAAAATTGCAGTGGAACTGATTTCAAAATTATAATCACCACAATAACTTCAATTAATACAAAAAAACCCATAAGGCTGTTGTTATTCATACTAAAATGGCAAGGACATTAACACACACACACACACACACACACACAAAGGACATTACTTGGTTATTCATATATGAGAACCATCACAAAGAAGTATCATCAGCAAATCAAACACCCCAAAACTGCCTCAAACCCTTCAAATCAAAATACCCTCTGGTCTCTTGACTGTTCACCAGTAAGAAAACACAATTAAGCTGAAGATAAATCAAACCTTTAAATGTTATTTGGTAGCAAACTCCATTCTGCTTACCAGTTAGGTAGAGGCAATTCCAATTTATGCAAAATTGTAAGGCTTCACCAAGTTGATCATGCGTTCCAAGGTGCTCATCTATGTAATATTTCACCTCTTCTTATTTAATTATTATTCTCAAAAGATTTCAATACTTAAAACATCAAATTTATCATTATTTTACCAGTCATCTTTTAATATTTCAAACGATGCAACAAAGGTTTTAGTCCCTGCACTGAATTCATTAATACGTGAATATATTCAATGAAATTATTCTTAAAGTAACATTAGCTACTCCATATATATGTGCCTCTTCTATCTGTGGAGTCCCAGACATACGCATTAGCCCAAGCAATCCCAATCAAGTCAATTTGCTCAGTACTAGCCTTGATCTTCACCAGAAGTTCTTGATCCATATCTAACAAGGTGACAAGCTATGTTAAATGGAGTTTCCAAAAGTAATGAAGCACCTGTGTCGGACACATATTACTCAGACTTGAATATTGAATATAAGATATGTGTATGATATTTTTAATTAGACATGTACTTAAAAAGTATATCCAATCATTTAATTACATTGTATTATTACTTTAAAATGAGTTAAAAGCCTAGATTGAATATGTAACGACCCAAACCCGAGGTTCGAATCATTATTCAGGTCCTTAACCGAACCCTAGGTCATCTAAGAGCATTACGGTCATTCCCAATGTTCAAATATAATAACATAGCATACATGTAACGACCCGAACCCGTGGGTCCAAATCATTATTCGGGTCCTCATCTGAAACCGAGGAGTCGTAGTAGTTAAACAGTCATTCACTTTCCCAAACATGTAACGACCTGAACTCGAGAGTCCGAATCGTTAACCGACTTCTTATGCGAACCCGAAGTCAATTAAGGACACTACCGTCCTTTCCTACATCAATATATAATATACATGTCATCCCAGGGTTTTAAAAAATATAATAGCAATAATAATAAAATGAGATCATAGCTACAAAATATGTCAAAACAGTCCACTAACCCATCGAACCCTATGGAGGAGCGTCGTCCGCCACTTCCTTTCTGTGTCCTGAAAAATGTTAACAATAAAGGGGTGAGCATAAGCTCAGTAGGAAGTGTCTAAGACACACTTCTTATATCCTAGTGAATCCATACAATGAATAGATAAAAAGTGTACAGGATCATGCCATATGGAAACGCACATTCTCAACAACAACAAGTATGTAGCAAATATCAACCAGTCACAAGTTTACCACAATGTCATGAAGTGCAATATCATGCAAATGTCACTCCCCATTTTCCGAAACATTTCTGTTTCAACATCCAAACCGTTAGTGTAATCCGACCCAAGGCACCTCCAAGGCGTCACGAATGGAGGGTTAACTAACTATCCACGACCACAAGGCACCTCCAAGGCGTCGCATCCGGCCTAGTTAGTTTAATCATACTCCTTCTAGACTACACTAACAACACAGATCGCTAGACACTTCCTTGGCGTCCGGTTTTCGCAAACTTTTTTGAAAAATATTTTTCCTAAGAACAAATTCATTTATTTTTTTAAAACATTTTTCCCCCTATTTCTTTCCCAATGGATGCATGAATGCTTTATACTTCATTTCATCAATTCAACCATAAAGTTCCCACATATTTTTTTTCAAATAAATTAATAAATTACTAAAAATACATAACTCATATTCTCATTCCACATTTTGCTAACAATTTAAATATAAAATTCACAAATTTTTATTTCATATAAGGATGTTTAAACACAATATAATCACTGGCATTTAAACAATTTTCAGGAACTTTTGCTAATTAAGCATGCAATTGAACAATTTATAAGAAATAGATTCACAAAAGTATAAGAAGACCATGAATTAGAGACCCCTACCCTGAAAAAGGATTTTCCTCATTGGATCATCAAAGCCTCAAGCTCCTAGCCTCTGCAACTCTCGGACCTCTCTCTGTCGTCAAACTTTCTCTGTCTCCACCATCTCGGCCCTCTCTCAATCTTCTCTAATTTCCTCTATTTTTATCCTTCAGTTTCCTCCTTGAGTTGTCAAGACATATACCATATTATATAGGCAATTGTCCACCGAACAGAACAACTTTCACCACAAATATCTTTTCAAAAAGTCACTGGGTCCTGCCACATCATCTCCTTTATCACTTCACACTCATAGCACACAACCACAAAAAAAATGCATCAGCTCAAAAACAAACAAGGCCACGTGAAGAAAGCCAAACAAAAGCCCATTTTTTCCTCCCAGGTCCCGCCACTACCATTAAAAAAGTCAACTTTTCATCATCACCAAATTAATCTCATTCTCTCTCCTAATTCGGCAAACCACCATCACCATCAAGTACTAAATATATCTATATACATATATATAATATATATAACAAAGCCAATTTCAAACCTATTTAAATATAACTCAAGTGGGACCCGCAATACCATCGAAATTAACTTTTCTTCTCTCAATTCGGCAGGTAGCATCACCTTATCCCACCAATTGATACTTGCTATATATATATATATATATATATATATATATATATATATATATATATACAAAACATCAAACCACCTCTCTTTCCATATCTCTTTTCTTTCCCTTATCACCAAATAAAGTCTACGTGACCAGCCCACTCCATTCCACTTTCGGCTGCCACCTGTTTCCTCATTTGACAATATATACATAAATATATATATCATAAACATTACAAAACACCATTAATAAAATGTATGTGGTGTACAAGGTCATCAAATGAGGGTAAGAGCGGTAGTATGGGAAGGAAAAATAGAAATGACAGTTTACAGGAATCGGTCGACGTGAAGTGGTTACACGTCGACCAATTAAAGGATATCAGTTAACGTCGACTGGTTTGTCACAATAGCAATGTTTTGGCTATTGTCCATATACCGATCGATGTTTGGGTATGAACATGTCAACCGAAACCTGCTTTCCCTGTAAGCATTGCTCCTTTAACTGCCTTGTTGATGTGCGAAATTTATTTACCACTCACAATAGAACGAATCCCTTGTAGGATAGGGCTGCTCAGAAGGTGTCAAACCTCAGGAACTATGGTAGTTTATCAAGTTTTCAATTAATTACTATTTTAATTTAGAAAGAAGATTTGTTTGTTGTGTTGCAATTCAATAGCATGAACAAAAATTAAACAAAGCTAGTAGAAAGATTTAGATCAGAGAGAGAAGATATTAGGGGATTGACTTCAACACAAACCTCATACTATGGTCAATTATCTTGAAATGTTTCTGATTTTTGCCATTTTTCATTTTTTGTAATTTTCTGTTTTTGTGAGGGCATTTTTGTCTTTTCTTGTTTTGCGTACCGGACACTGTGGGATGTTTCGGGTGTGTTCGGGAGCTGGTTAAGGTATTTCAAGGAGTTCAGGACTCTTTGAAATACAAGGGTTGCCATTTCAGCATTTTTTCATTTTTCGGGCCGGACGGTCCCGGTTGGGACCCGTTACTGGGATTCTTGTGCACGAGGATTTTATTTTGGGTCCATTACATTCTATGCATATTTATTTTATACATATTTTTATGGTTATGTGTCATTTCTAAGTAGTATATTTATATATGAATTTGTAGTAGAAATTAAAGTTAAAAGAAAAATCTTATTGGAAGGGGGGCCCACTATCACCCATTTTAGTGGTCATGAGACCATGCTTGGTCTCATTTTTCATTCTTTCTCCCATAAGACCTCTCTCACTCTCTCATTTCTTGGTTTTTCTTTTTCTTTTCTTCACCAAATTCAATCCTTGATTACTCCCTTAATTTTACGAGTTTTTGGGTGCCGTTTGTGGCAAATTAGAGAGCTCTTTGAGATCCTCACATTGATGCAAGTAATTTCTTGTTTGGCCAACCATTGAATTTTCAAAATTAGGGCTTGGAAATTGGGGGTTTTGCATCCTAAGAGGTAGGGGTGTTCTAATACATGATTTCTTATGCTTTTAGTGAGTTAATTCTTTATAAATTGTTGAATTGCATGCTTAATTAGTTTAAGTTCTTACAAATTGTTTAAATATTACATGTGAAAGTGTGTCTATGTGATAGTTGATATAATGTGTATAAGTATACCTTTGTGTAATGGAATTTGTGTTTTGTATGCCTAATATGCTTGAATAATGTGAAGTGAAAGCATGAGTTATGGATTTTAGAAATTTACTTTGAATACTATGTGTGAAAGTTTTATGGTTGAATTGACGAATTGAAACATGAAGCATTCATGCATCCATTGGAGAAAAGAGAAGGGAAAATGTTTTAAAACAAACAAAACTTGTTTTGGGAAAAAGTTTTCTAAAAGTGTTTACAAAAACTAGGATGCCTAGGAGGCGCCTAGTCGTCCTTGGTGTTACTATAGTCTAGAAGGGAGTATGGTTGAGCTAACTAGGCC